CAATATTTAATTTATGAGGCCAAGGCTATATTTACACATAACTATCAATGATCAAGACACATTATTCAATTTAACTTCACATAGAGTCTAAGTTAAAGAAAAGATAAATCAGATTGATCTTAAATTTAGGATGGGAAGAGTATTTTTAATTTTATATTACTCCTCTAGTCCTTAATATAGGACATAATTGTTAAGTTAATTTTAATCTTAAATATAAGAACTATTTCTCATATTTATTAGTTTTTTTTTCTAAATTATTACCAAGGATACTCCCTCAATCATAATTAGGCAAGCAAGGGAGGGAGGATATTAAGAAAGATAATCATGGTGTTTTAGAAAAAATATGTCATATTACCTCCGGTCCTGATTATAAGAGTTAGTTGACTAATTTGAAGAGATTAATGAAATAAGTTTGTTAGTTATTTGTAATAAATAAATATTGTCTTTCCTAAAATATTCTTACTAATCAAGTGTGTTGGCTAAAATTACTATTATTAAGGGGAAAAAAGCATAAATGTGAGACACAAAAGTAGATTTGCGTCTTATATTTATAACTAAAATAAAACTCAAATGAAGTCTTATATCAAATATCAGAGGTAGTATTTCTTATAATTAATTAAACCTGTCTAATCTTATTAATATAATTAAATTAGTTACATAGGTGTTATATTGAGAATGAGAGTGGTAATAATAATGAATTGACTAAATCATCAACAGGAGCAGGCCGGCTTGAAGATTCTCGACGGAAGCATAAAAGGGAAAATACATATGGTACGGTATGAAGAATAAATAATATACTCCATTAAGGGATAAATATATTTGAATAATTAATTTATAGATACTGAAAAAATTTAAAAATTATTTATTTATAATAAATGCGTGTTAGTTTATAGAAGTAACATATTTAATTACAAACAATACTTACCTCAAGTTTGTTTATATCTATCATGTTAAGTTTTATAATTACATATGACCACGTGTTTTATTTTTGAAATGTTAGAATTTAATAGCATTTAATTATAAATTCACATAAAATAAAAAAAGACACATAACTTTGTGTGGTTGGATAACTTGACATAATATATATAAAAAATTTGAAGTAAGTTTTTCCTTTAATTATTTGTAGGATAATTGTGCATACAACACATTGATCTTTTCTATGTTGCATCCCATAGTGATGATACATCGTCAAAAAAAAAAAAAAGTTAGTGTACTGGATGCATCAGAGAAAAGGGACTGGATTACTAGATGCATCCTTACCCTCATCCGTATTGGAAACTATCTGGATGAAAACTAACTTAATGGGATTGCTTTAAGAAATTATAAATTTATAAATTGAGATTACTCAATTAGATTTTTTTTCGCAGTGAGGTTATTCTAGTAATTGCCAGAGAGAACAATAATATAATACTATTTGGTCCTAATTATAAGAGCTAATTGACTAATTTCAAGAGATTAAGGAAAGACGTTAAGTTAGTTATTTGTAATAAATAGATGTTGTCTTTTCTAAAATATCTTTGTTAATCAAATACATTAGTTAAAACTATTATTGTTAAAAAGACTACTTTAAAAAAAATACACAAATATTAGAGACAAAATAGATTTGGGTCTTATATTTTAGATCAAAATAAAAATCAAACGAAATTTTATATTAAAGATACGGAGTAGTAGTAACAAAAGTGGAAAACCAAAGACAAAATATATAAAAGCAAACTAAGCAGAGTCCTCATGAGATTGAGAAGAGACATACACGCACGGATATACATGATCGGGATCGGTATCCATCGTGTCTTGATCCATCGCTAGTCTATACGTGCGCGTATTCTGAATTTATTATCGCAGTGTGGGCGCACATGTATTTTTGAACCATATTCTACAAATTCCTTCCATTGCATCAACAACTACGATCAGTATTATGAGTAGCCACCCTCGTCAATATCATTTCTATTTAATATAAGATTTAATTAACTAATTTAAAAAGATTAAAAAAACTAAATAAATTATTTAATTATAGCTTATAATATATGATTTATCCAAAATACTTATATATATCACTATATTATATATTACTACCTCCAATCCTTAATATAAGACCCTATTTGATTTTTATTTTGATCCTAAATATAAGACTCCAATCCACTTTGTCTCTAATATTTATACATTTTTTTTTTCCAAAGTAGCCCTTCTAATAATAAAAGTTTTAGTCAATACACTTGATTAGCAAATATATTTTTAGGAAAGACAATACCTATTTATGACAAATAACTAACTCAAATTACTTCCTTAATCTCCTCAAATTAGTCAACTGGGTCTTATAATTAGGACCGGAGGTAATAGTTTACAAGTCAGATTAATTAATTAGTTAGGCTTTATATCATACTACCTCCGGTCCTAATTATAAGACCCAGTTGACTAATTTGAGGAGATTAAGGAAAGAAGTTAAGTTAGTTATTTGTAATAAATAAGTATTTTCTTTCCTAAAATATTCTTACTAATCAACTATATTGGCTAGAACTACAATTATTAGAAGGACTATCTTGGAAAAAATAACATAAATATGAGAGACAAAGTGGATTAGAGTCTTATATTTAAAACTAAAATAAAAATTAAACAAGATTTTATATTAAAGACCGGACATAATAAATAGCACGTAGTATACTCTCAGTGATTCCAAACGGCTTATAAGTAACTTGTTCCCCTTTGGCTTGTAATTTAAGTGCAGTTGACATTATTACTCGGCGTCAGAGTATGCATGGGAATATGTGACCTTTTTCCCAGTTCAAATTTCTCGTTGGGGTCATTGTGTTCCGAAACATAAGAAATTAAGAACGTAATCCTACCGACAATCGAACAAGTCCTTGGCGTTAAAAAAATAAAAAATAATGAGAACGCGGGCGACACGTGAGGTCGTGAGCTATGAATATAATAATATTATGACAAACATGGAAATTTTAAGCACAATTCGGTATTTGTCATTTCGTGAGGATGATTGAAAATTGATTCCCACCAAAATTGGTGAGTTTTCTTACGCACTAGAAAATCTGCTGCTGCTGCTGCAAATTGAGTTGCAGAAAAATGTTGCAGCCAAATGTTCGTTAACAGTTGACAAAAAAGGAGCATACAATGGTGAGTTTCAATATACTACATTCCATCTTTAATATAATATCTTATTTTATTTTTATTTTAATCCTAAATATAATATTCTAATCCACTTTATTTATCATATTTATGTATTTTTTTTCAAAATAGTCTTTCTAACAATTGTAGTTCTGATCAATATACTTAATTAACAAGGATATTTTAAAAAAAAATACATATTTATTACAAATAACTAACTTAACTTCTTTATTTAATCTTTTCAAATTAGTCAACTGGTTTTTATAATTAGGACTGGGGGTAGTAAAAAATAATTACTCAATTGTCATTGAGATTTTTAATAATTAAATTATTTTTTGGCACTTTACAATAACTATTCTAAAAATCAAACCTTTTCCTTTTCATTGCAAGATTTTCACCGTATCAAAGAGACCATAACTTCTGCTCTGTTTTTGCAGAAACAGAAAAAACAGAGCAATGGTTGGTGGTCCCTCGTTTTGATCCCACATTTGATCATGTCTCTTTTCCTATTGCAAGTTTGTAACTATCGTAGAACATTGGAATAATTAATCTCCGGGTCCTTATAGTTTCATCTGATTTTTAATTAGGTCCTTATAAAATTTTTTCTTTTTATTAGGTTTTTTTACTTTCACGTGTTTTTACTTAGGTCCCTCTATTTTTTTCTCTTTTTATCAGGTCCTTGTAGTTTCATTTACTTTTTAACTAGGTCCTTTGTTGTTTTTAAAAAATTATTTATTAATTTTATTCTTTAAAATTAATTTCATTTTAAACTATAGTCTTAATTGGTTTTTAATCAGGTCCCTATAATTTTTTTCTTTTTATCAACTTCTTGTACTTTCATATGTTTTTAATCAGGTCCTTATAATTTTTTTCTTTTTATCTGGTCTTTATTGTTTTACTTTATTTTTAATTAGGTCTTGTAGTTTTTATTCTTTATTCTATAAATAATAATATTCTAAAAATAATAAATTATTATAAAAATCTTATGTTAATATTTTTTTAAATTTTTAGTTAAACAAATGTATTATTTATTTTTCAATTCTGTTTTTTATAATTATAAAATTTTCTAAAATTAGAATATAATTATAAATAATTTATAGTTAAGTATAATTAATTATTCTGATTAATTATTAATTACTAAATGATTATATTAATTATTTTGTCTAATTATATAATATTAGTTTAAAATGAAATTAAATTTAAAGAATAAAGTTAATAAATAATTTTTTAAAAATGGCAAAGGACCTAATTAAAAAATAAGTGAAACTATAAGGACCTAATAAAAAAAATAGAGGGACCTAAGTGAAAACATGTGAAATTAAAAGAACCTGATAAAAAGAAAAAAATTTATAAGGACCTAATTAAAAATCAGATGAAACTATAAGGAGCCGGAGATTAATTATCCCTAGAACATTTTATATATATATATACTCCTCCGGTCCTAATTATAAGACCCAATTGACTTATTTGAGGAGATTAAGGAAGTAAGTTAAGTTGGTTATTTATAATAAATAAGTATTGTTATTCCTAAAATATCCTTGCTAATTAAGTATATTGGCTAAAACTATCATTATTAGAAGGATTATCTTGGAAAAAAATGCATAAATATAAGAGAGAAAATGGATTGGGTCTTATAATTAGGACCAAATAAAAAGTCAAATTGGGTCTTATAATAAGGACCGGAGGAGTATATATGTTGATTAAATAATGAGCCCCCGGGAAACACGAACCATGAAATATGATTACATTATGAATATATATACATATATATAGGGTATACAAAGCGGGAATTTCTTACATTATATACATATAGATCACTGGAACTTGCCCAAAAAGAGCATATAATCTGTACACTAGCATCACTTTCTTCTCAGTTTATGCCGATGGATCTGGACTCGTTCTTCAGTTCAGTCAACGTCGCCGCCGTCTTCCTAATTACGGCAATATCACTGCTTTTTCTCAAGATAGTACTGAAAGCCACCTGGAGATCATGTTCGCAGAAGCTTCCGCCTGGGCCATGGAGGCTTCCTGTGATTGGGAGTGTCCACCATCTGGCCGGCGCTCTGCCGCACCATCGGTTCAGAGAGCTGTCGAGGAAATACGGGGCGGTGATGTGGCTTCAGCTGGGGGAAACGCCGACGGTTGTGGTGTCGTCGGCGGAAGCGGCGAAAGAGGTGCTGAGAACTCATGATGTGATATTTGCTCAGAGGCCTCATCTTCCCGCCGCCGATGTTGTGCTCTATGGCTCCACCAACATCACTTTCTCTCCTGTCGGAGACCACTGGAAGCTTCTCAGAAAAATTTGCTCTCTAGAGATGGTATTTTCTTTTTTTTGCATGACTCTAGAGATGGTATAGTGCACGATAAGCGCGTGCGTGGATGAGTATTTAGATTTTCTTTTGGGTAATAATAATAGTAAAAAAAAAAAGTAATCCATCATATTTATGCATTATTGACTTTTTTTTTTGGGTTGGACTATGTATTAGTTATATATGAATATTATATTTACTGATGAGTTATTACTTTTTCTATTTAAATATTACTCTTTTCGTAATTATGTTGACTTTGAGTTGAACTACTAATCTTTGAATCGTTATCTTATGCGATTCATCGAGTTTGGTTCTTGTTACTTTGCTAATTTGATTATATTAGGAAAGTGAGATACATAGTATACTTATTAAATTATGACAAATAGATAAATTTATTAAATATATGAGACATATTGAGAATAGGAGGGAGTAATTTTTATGATATGATACAGTGAATAGTAAATTTATGCTTCCCCTGCAACAGGTAAATGCCAAGCGAGTAAGATCATTCCAACCACTAAGAGAGAAAGAAGTGTCAAGTCTGGTGACACAATTATCAGAACAAGCAAGATCTTCATCACTGGTGAATCCCAGTGAGAAAATCTACACCACCATCTTTGATATCACTTCAAAGGCAGCTTTTGGGGAGAAATACAAATCACGAGACGAGCTTTTCTTCATCTCTGAGATAATGTTGAAGTCATCAGAAAGCAGAAGCATTTGCGACATATTCCCTCGCAGAATTGGCTCGCTGTGATCTCAGGAATGAAGGGCAAGTGGGAGACGATGCATCGCATGGCTGATACAGTTCTTGAGAAGATAACAAGTGGGTGGGAGCAACATCATCAAGGTTGTCGGAGGTGAAGCAGATTGTCTTCTTCCTGCTATGTTGAATGCTAAGGAAGATGGTAGTCTTACATCAGACAACGTCAAAGCGTCATGTTGGTAATTACTTAGTACTATTATTACTTTCTGCTTCTTGTTTCGCCATTTTTATATGAACACACATGGATCGTTATCTCTTTCATGATGATGTCTATATATACAGGACATGATTCTGGGAGGGACTGAGACGTCATCCACGATAATAGAATGGGCAATGGCTGAACTACTGAGAAACCCTGGATTGATGAAGAAGACACAAGCAGAAATCAGACGAGTAGTTTCCGACAACAAAGGATGTATCGACGAGACAACTCTTGAGAATCTAAGGTATCTTAAAGCAGTGATCAAGGAAACTCTGAGACTGCATCCTCCAGCTCCATTTCTGATCCCAAGAGAGTGCACACAGACTTGTGAGATCAATGGGTACACAATACCAGTTGGAACACAAGTTCTTGTGAACGTTTGGGCCATTGGGAGAGACCCTGATTATTGGAGCTTAGCAGAAGAGTTTTTGCCGGATAGATTCTTGAACCTTGCTATAGATTACAAAGGTTTCAACTTTGAGTACTTACCATTTGGTTCTGGGAAGAGGATATGTCCTGGGATGTTATTTGGTGTGGCCAGTGTGGAGATAGTTCTTGCTCACTTGCTTTGTCGTTTTGACTGGGAGCTTCCTTCTGGGACTATTCCAGAAACCCTAGATATGACTGAAACTTTAGGCACCACCATGAGAAGGAAAAATCACCTGATTTTAATCCCCAAACGTTATTATAGTTAATTAGTCTTGTACGTTTTATTAAATGACCACTTTATATGATGATGAGACATGTCTTTAGTCTCATATATGATGAATTATGTCTCCATCCGAGTTCCACAGTGGAAGCTAATAACCAACATGTTTGTTTTGAGAATAATAATGAGTTTGGTGGTTGTGAAGGATTGGTTTGAATGTTAATGCATTGTTTCACATTTTTTGCAATTTATTAGCTTGTAAAATTTAACTTGGGTTTTCATATCGCACCCTATTACTCAAGGGGCCTTTCGTGCTTTTTTTTTTTTAATTACAATTTCAATTTTTTTATCTTAAATTTATATTAAATTTGTTTTCGGACACAGATTGTAGCCAATGTTTAGGCCTCGAAGTATTTGTTTTTTTTTCCCACAGTAGGAATTTTCCGGGGAAAAAAAGAAGAAGCAGAATAATGGGAACGAGACTTAATTACCTAATGCTATACCCGGTCCTAATTATAAGAGCTAGTTGACTAATTTGAGGAGATTAAGGAAATAAGTTAAGTTAGTTATTTGTAATAAATATATGTTATCTTTCCTAAACTATCCTTACTAATTAAGTGTATTGGCTACAACTACCATTATTAGAAGGATTAATTTGGAAAAAATATATAAATATAAGAGATAAAATAAATTAGTATTTTATATTTAAGATCAAAATAAAAGTCAAACGAGGTCTCATGTTAAAGAGACCGGAGGTAGCAATTTTGTAAGATTGATTTATACATAAAATAGGGACATATTTAATCGCAAAAATGGACTGTCGTAAAAAAAAAAAAAGAACACAAAAAAAAAGACATATTTGGTGGTGTGTATATATATTAAAAAAAAGAAGGAAAGAAAAGCAGAAGTAGTTTTTGCTAAACATGATGTATCAAATACGCACGAAGCCATCAACCGTGTGAGAGTGGTAATAAAGGAGGGAGGAGAAAAGCTTGTCTTCAAGAGTTTGTTCCTCAAAGAATTAATGAGTCCAAAATTGTCATCATACAAAAATTAGGATGGAGGTAGCTATATATAAATTTGCCAAAAAAGTCACCCTCATTTTCTGCTCTAATTTGAATATTTTTTATATGATAAATTTTTATACACAGAAAATATTGATATTCTGCAGATTTTAATCACTCTATACACAGTATTGATACATCATTCATACAAATAGTTTTTCAAATTGTCACAAAAAAGGTAAATCAAATAAAAATAATTGTTTCAAACTAGTTTTTATGTTTTTTTTTTAAAACAATCAGATCTTTTTTTGTTTTTTTAGATTTTTCTGAAAAGCAATTTTATAAAATATTCTCTGAAAAAGAAGAAGAAGAAGAAATAAACAGACCCTTTTTTCTTTAATTTTTTTCGCCTTTTGGTTTTCAATGGGTATTTTGACCAGGAAAACCTATTCTGCGCAGTTCAGCACTTCGGCTGCGTCGAACACTTGTGATTGCTAACACAAGAAGCTCTTTATCAGCGAATGAATTATCTCCATCCCCTGAACCCAATCAGAAATCCTTTATCCCAATACCCTGGCCCTCTAGCTCTTCAATCGTTGCCGTTGTTACCTCTTTACTTTTCCTGCGGAATAACTGGAGTTGAAACTCCGAATGGTCGAGATTTATAAAGCTCCTCATAGAGTGTTCCATTGTCTCTTCCCTTCTGTTTGAATATGTGTGTATATATATATTTAACATAACGAAACCCTATTTCTTCTTTGGTCAAGTTAAGCCTGAATGACCCTGCTTCTGTTGATCTTGTCATGGATTGGATAGTTTATACTGGGTGGTTAATTCTTCTATGAATTGACGCAAAGTGCAATAAGCTGCCCAAGGAGTACACATCAGCATCTTGCCTTGGGTCTGCATACATGAAGATTCACTTGAAGTATCAAGGTAATGTTCGTTTGAATTATTAATTATTGTCGTTACCAAATGCCTTATTCAATGGATCAATATCAAACTCATTTGTTTTAAATTCAGTTTTTTTTTTTTTCCCTCTTGCACTTTAAGTTTTAGTTTTGTTGTTGTCATTGTCGCAGTATCATACTTCCGGTATGTTCTGAAGTGCCGGCAAATCGATCCTTTATGGAAAAAGTTCTCATCTTCATCAAATGGGCCTTCTTCTTCCGATCCATACGAAAAGGTTGTTCCCTCTGTGGAGGGGAGAAATCAATATCATTCTGGAAATTCGCTTTGCCACAGCCAAGTGGTGGACGATGTATGCCGGGTTTTGGGGACTGATCCCTGGGGACCAGCGACTGAGAATGCACTGTCCATGCTTGTTGAAAAGCCTCAACCAGAAATAGTTGTTGGAGTATTAAGGAGGTTAGATGATGTCAAGAAGGCATTACACTATTTTAGGTGGGTGGAGGGAAAAACTGAACAAGCACATCATCCTGAATCATACAATTCACTTCTCAGGGTCATGGCTAGGAGCAAAAACTTCGACTTCTTGGAACAGATTCTTGAAGAGATGAGTATTGCTGGATTTGGACCATCTATTGATACCTGCGTCGAACTAGTTGCCTCCTCTGTCAAATCACGGAAGTTGAGAGAAGCTGTTGGCATTGTTGAAACAATGAGGAAATTCAAATTTCGCCCTGCTTTTTCAGCTTACACAACGTTGATTGGTGCCCTCTCAGCATCTCGTGCTAATGAATCTGATCTTATGCTCAGACTTCTTCGCCAAATGCAAGAACTAGGTTATGAAATAAGTGTTCATTTGTTCACTACCCTTGTCCGTGAATTTGCCAAGGAGGGCCTTGTTGATGCTGCACTTTCCTTCTTGGATGAGATGAAGAGTAATTCAATCAATGCTGATGTAGTTCTCTATAATGTATGTATAGATTGTTTTGGCAAAGTTGGTAAGGTGGACATGGCCTGGAAATTCTTCCATGAAATGAAAGCACATGGGTTAATGCCTGATGATGTGACATACACTAGCATGATAGGGGTTCTTTGCAAGGCTGGGAGGTTGGAGGAAGCTGTTGAGCTGTTTGAACAAATGGATCTCAACAGGAGTGTACCTTGTGTATATGCTTATAATACCATGATAATGGGTTATGGTTCGGTTGGAAAGTTTGATGAAGCATACAGTTTACTTGAGAGGCAAAAGAGAAAGGGATGTATTCCTAGTGTAATTGCATACAATTGCATTCTTACTTGCCTAGGGAAAAAGGGTAAAATAGAGGAAGCATTGAGTGTCTATGAAGAAATGAAAAAGGATGCACCTCCCAATCTTACAACCTACAATATTTTAGTTGACATGCTTTGCAGAGCAGGAAAAGTTGATTCTGTTATGGTTGTTCAGGATGTGATGGAAAGAGCTGGCTTGTTCCCTAATATCATAACTATAAACATAATGATTGATCGACTGTGCAAGGCTCAAAGACTTGATGAAGCTTGTTCCATCTTCTTACAATTGGACCATAAAGCTTGCACACCTGATGCTGGAACATTTTGTTCTCTTATTGATGGCTTGGGCAGACATGGCAGGGTGGGTGATGCCTACAAGCTGTATGAACAGATGTTAGACTCTGGTCAGATTCCAAATGTTGTTGTATATACTTCTCTTATCAAGAATTTCTTCCAGTGTAATAGGAAAGAGGATGCACACAAAATTTACAAAGAGATGCTCCATAGTGGCTGTTCTCCGGATCTTGTGCTCCTAAATACTTATATGGATTGTGTTTTCAAATCTGGTGAAATTGAGAAAGGGAGGGCTTTATTTGAAGAAATAAAAACTCAAGGGTTAACTCCTGATGTTAGGAGCTATTCAATTTTAATTCATGGTCTTGTTAAAGCAGGTTTTGCAAAAGAAACTTATAAATTATTTTATGAGATGAAGGAGCAAGGATTGCATTTGGATACCCGTGCTTACAATGCTGTTATTGATGGATTCTGCAAGGCTGGAAAGGTAAATAAAGCTTATGAACTGCTTGAGGAAATGAAGACAAAGGGTTTCCAACCTACTGTTGTGACTTATGGTTCTGTGATCGATGGACTTGCTAAGATAGATAGGCTTGATGAAGCATACATGTTGTTTGAAGAAGCAAAATCAAAAGGTATAGATGTTAACGTAGTCATCTATAGTAGCCTGATTGATGGGTTTGGGAAGGTGGGAAGGATTGATGAAGCATATTTAATTATGGAGGAGTTAATGCAGAGAGGTCTGACCCCTACTATATTCACATGGAATTGCTTACTTGATGCATTGGTGAAAGCTGAGGAAATTGATGAAGCTCTTGTCTGCTTTCAATCCATTAAGGACATGAAATGTCATCCAGATGTAGTAACCTACAGCATTATGATAAATGGTCTTTGCAAGGTTAGAAAATTTAACAAGGCCTTTGTATTTTGGCAGGAGATGCAGAAAAAGGGGTTAAAGCCCAATACCATCACGTATACCAACATGATATCAGGACTTGCAAAGGCTGGAAATGTTTACGAGGCTAATGATCTCTTTGGGAGATTTAAGGCAAATGGTGGCATGCCTGATTCGGCTTGTTATAATGCTATGATAGAAGGCTTAAGCAATGCGAATAAAGCAATAGATGCATATGCACTTTTTGAGGAGACTCGAATGAAAGGCTGTCGCATAAATGGCAAAACCTGCATTGTTCTTTTAGATGCATTGCATAAGGCTGATTGCCTTGAGCAGGCGGCAATTGTTGGGGCTGTCTTAAAGGAGATGGCCAAGTCCCAACATGCTACAAGATTTAATTGAGAACAGGATGTCTATTCGTTATTGGTCCTGGAAGAATAAGAAGTCTTTCTTTTGGACCTAAATAAGTGCTATTTTCTGAGTAACATGCTTTAATACCCTTTCTCATTTGCTCTGGCCAAGCAATTTGAGGGGAACATAGAAAATTTGTCATTTCCTCGGACTCATTGAGGTTGATGGTCTCACCCTTAAAGGTAATTCTTTGATATCTATTGAGGTTCAAAAATCGCTCATTGCTTGCAACTGATTTATGTATGGAAGAGTTATACTGCCGTCCTGTTTTAACTTTTAAAATGTGGGTTCAAATGGAGTGTGCTTTACTCATGTGTATCTCCAAATTACTCTGACAACCTAACTTGTTAGTCCCCCCCCCCCCCGGCTTTTTTGAGATAAAGTTGATGTCCTAAACAAGCCTATACAGCTAAAAATGGCTTTTTTTTTTTTTACCAATACCTGAAAGTGACATAGTTAGTGACATGGAATCTATAATGTTTCAGTAGACAACGGACTGATTATGATTCTTTTTAAAATATTAATCATGCTTGATTTCTGACTTGCAGGGAGCAACTCTATTCTTAGAATTCTATCATTTTTGAAGGATTGACATATAATGGTACTGTCAATGGACTGGCTTCATCCCATCAGTCCTCCTGCGGTAATTCTGTTAGTTGCCATTTTTTCAAGTCCGCTTGTCACTTGTCAATTACTTTTGGATAAATTTATTCACACCCCACCCTCCAAAAAACACCCCCACTCATGGAAAAAAGAAAAAGAAAACGAGAAAAACCTGCCCTGTTGATTAACTCAAAAACCATGAATGCCTATATTTTCATGTGGTATTGGAACACATTGGTCTTTCTGGAATGAAGGAATCTCTATTCCAGAGGCTAGTATAAATTGGTAATACCATTTTACTGTTCTGCCATGATGTCTCCTCTTAATGACTAGGTTAGTTATTTATGCTAGTCTCTTTTTCATGTTATAGCATATAACTCAATTGACTTGAGTCATCGAACACATCAGGGTTGTTCTTATTTGGCGGCTCATTGACTGTGCCAGTGCTCCCATTTGTTCTATTTTGAAACCTGTAAAATGCTATGGGGCTGAGTCATGACATTAGCGACCAAAACATGTTGACCGCGTTGAGAAATGGACTAGCGGATAGTTTTTTTTTTTTTATAAAGTAGATTGCAACAATTTGCAGATAATTGTGAAGAAATTTATGAATACTGGGTTAGTTGCTGGACCAAACGAAGGTGTGTCTAGAATGGGATGATGAAACAGCTGGAATTTACAGGGGATGCAGATAAGGAATAGGTTTCTGGGTACCTCTCAGCTTCGAAACTAAGGAAAAATAAGTACGATGCGATTAGTGCTTCAGGCACTGTTTGTCACGAGCGAGATGAGAGATGCATGAAGATTTATGAGCTGGAAAAGGTCCACTTCTTGAGCTTTTGTCATGGCATCGCCAATCGCAGCATCGAACAGAGGCTTTCAATGAGGTGGTCTGAATTTTCCAGGGTACCCACTCCACAAAAGCACTTCTTTTTTTCGGTTTCATTCTTCATTTGTGTATGAAACGTGTTCTTGATCTATCAGGGCCCATTTGTTTGGATGTAAGAATGGATGGTAATGGTAAGCAGAAGCCCATTTACTATTACTAGTTTAGTGATTTCAAAGTTATTGCTTTTCTTTTGCTTCTTCTTTTTTCCCTTTATGTTCTGGTTCACTATTTGACATCCTGTTTGTACCCTTGTGTCTTTGTTCTTGTCGTCTGTGCGTGACTAAATTTTCTCAGGTCTATTTTCTGGGAGTGGATTCAATTTGTCTTCTAAGTTGTTCATGGCAGATCGGATTCAGAATGTTTTATATCTCTTCCAATCTGTTTTACTAACAACTAGAAAAGCTGGCATAGAAAGAGAATAATGGGACTGTCCAGAAATCCCGACGCCAAAAAATTGGTCCTACCAGTGGGACCCGCACAAGGGGGAAAACAAACTGAGTATTCATGATTGTCAGGTGAATTTGATCATGCAAAAACGTGATTTAGAGGACAAAAATTTTGCCAGCACCAGAAATTCATGTAGAATCATGCTCATCGTCAATAAATTTTTAAGAACATTGCTCAGAAACCTTCCTCTGGTTGACCATGCATCATCAATAGATAAAATATTTCATTGCTTTCAGTTTGAACAATGTTAAAATGTACCTCCTGATAAAAGCTGGAATATCACACTTTCATGTGTTTGGGGGAAGCAAATGAATGGGCTAGTTGTATTGTCAAAGTCAAAGCATTATGTGATATTAAAGCATAACTAGCGGAAGAGATTAGTCTATCACAACATAACGAACTAAAGTTTGAATTCCTGTTAGAAGAGGTGCCTGTATTTAGTGCTTGACAGTACTTTGAATAGGATTGTCTCTAATAAGAGGATACTTATGCTTCAGGGGGAAAAAAAGCATAACTAGCTTGTGCCATCCCGTTTAGCTTTTTTTTAGTTGAGATCCTCACGCAAAATAGTATTCTTCCCATATTTGCTAACGCAGATGCATTGAAATTACTCCAATGCATTCTATTCTCCCATACATACACAGATTACGTTGCACTGGTAGAGAAGGGGACAAAGAAAAGACGGTAAGTTGGTAAATTTGAAATGCTATGAAGGTAGAAGAAAGGAAGAAAGGTTTCACGATATGGTGGAATAGTAGCATCTAAACAATGTGCTTCATGCCTTGGGGTTTACATTAAAGTCTCATAATGCATGCAAATTCCTAAATATCTTCCAGCAAATAACATTGGTTATTTTCATTTGAATGAATTAGTATACATTTTTAATGACATTAATATATTAATGTTATTTTCATTTACATGGATTGGTATATTATAAAGGTTTTTTTCTTACATGGGTTGCATGGAGAGCTTCTGCAACTAAGATGTAAATATTCAATTACAAACTTTAAAAATATATTCATACAGATCACAATCTATTATGTACAATTGTGAAAATAAATGAAAAAACCTTTATATATTAAGGGAAAAAAAACATTTTATATGTATATACTAAACAGAAAAATAAAAAATTCGAAAGTATTAAACAAAATCAAAAAATGTATTTTTTTTTATATGTTTGCATAACTTATAAAATATTATTGAAAATATTGTGACTGTTATTATTGCTGAATTTTTTTAAAAAAATAATAAAAATTTCTCAAATCCTATTTAAAATTTAAATTCACTGGGGACGGATGACGTTATTGCTCATTAGATGCAATGAAGATCCACCGGGCGGGCATCACTGTGTATTTGTCCATAGGTATGCATTCTCAGAGTCAAACTTCAACACATAGCTCATAGGATATTCTAATAGTAAAGTAATAAGACAACCAGGGAAAAAAAATGTAATAAGACAACATTTAGGAGATTTTCAACACAGCGCAAACATTCTATACAAGTTGCTGCTGATATATGCATTTTGATATATAAATGTGCATCCATTTGAATGAGAAATACTGCGAACAACTATACAGGTGCAACAGATGTGGGAAAAAATATATCAGTTCTGACTTCTTGATGTTAATACTGCAATCCAGTATGAAAATCTTCTTTTCAGGTGAGCATCAAAATAAACTCCATTTGCAGCCGAGTTTTTTCGGCCGGGGAATACTGCACAAAGCAATTAATATAATAAATCATTATATGGAAATGATCCTTTGTAAAAGTAAGTGGAACAACATTAAAGAAACCACCTAGATCAAAAGCAACGATGGAAAAAAAACAAAAGCATAGTTAATACCACCTATAGTATTTTAAAAAGGTTACTAAGGACCAATTCAAAAAAGGCTACTAAGGATACCTTGTCCTTAGTGAGAACAACATAAAACGAAACAGCATGCCAGAAAGATGCTGTTAAACAGTACAACTTATAGCAAGCACCCATACCTATTCATAATGACAAAGAAAGTGCCACAGGACAAATTTTCTGCAGACTATTTCACATCGTCCCAAGAAAAAAAGTTTTGACTTAAAAACTTTCTTAACCAACCCAGCATCACCTGCAAAAAGTATATTGAAATGCATAATATTGTTAAGTTCTGTCCTATAAAAGGGAAGTTTCAACTCATGTAAAATGTCAATAGACAAGACAATAAAATTGATATTAAATAAGTTGCACAAAGCAGGCAAATTATGACCATTTAAAAATACCAAAAGTTACATGACAAGTTTTGGACCAAAAACTTCGTCTTATATACAAAAGTACACAATGTATGTTCATTCATAGATAGAGACGGCTCAAAATATGTATAGTTTCTGCGCATGGAGTCAACCTTTTGCATCGACTCAGCCTTCTGCACCACTGCAACCTGAATGTCCTCTTTTTCATTGCTATATTCTACTCACTCTTCTCCACCTCCCTGTTGGCTTCATGATAGCAGCTTTTTCCTCTGCCATTTCAACGTTATCTGCAAAGATGGAAAAGGGGCTAGGGCATTAGAGAATTTCTCATCAAAATAGGAAGATTCATGTTCGTTTGACTAATTCGTGAGCTTTACTTCATATTTTTATTGGTGATAATCATTCCAACGAAGCATTGTCATTCATGTTTGAGAAGTTAATAAATTATTAATGTTTACAATGAATCCTGACAGGGAGAGGCACTCTGTAATACCGTTTATGCCCTATGCCTGATAAAACATTTCTTAGGCATTTGGATTCACTTGGCTAGAAAGAATTGAACCACATCCTTGAAGTTTGTCACGGTAGAAAAAATGACCAAACTTAACAATCAAAGGTATACCAAGCTTGAAGAGGAAGGAAAAAGTACGAGAAAATTGGGGAACATATTTTAATAATTTTGGTTTTAATTTCCATTGCCATGAGGCATGGTCTTAAGCAACCTCCCCTATCAATTCAAAATGTATGGCTCAACTAAAAACAAAGCATCGATTAGCATTGCCTCCTTGTAACCTCCACTACGTCACTTTTTGATACTACAATTTCTTCATAGAAGCATCAAAATAAGCTCCACTTGCCTAGAATGTTTTGACAGCTCAGGAAAATTACAGCCAACAATCTAATCAAACCTACAATGGAAAGTTGTTATTAAGCCAGATATCTCTTATGAATAGTAAAATGAGTATGAAGCCAAAGAGTAAGCCATTTGAGTCATGGCTTGAGTAGAACAGTATCAAAAGATATATTGATATACTATTGCAATCATGCCTTTAGCCTTATAGAGAGAAAAATAAGGAGAGTACATAATAAGGAAAACTTTTTTTTTTAAAAAAAAAAAGCAAAATATTTTACTAAACTTGAGAGTTTTTTCTTCCTTAGTATTCTCTCCACATTCCTTGCCTCTCTATCCAAACAAAGGGTTAAAGTGTAAAGACGGATCAATAGTAATAAGGGTAGAAATTAGTACACTCTTAACTTTATTGTTTTCTTTCTCATGTTGTGGCTTATTTTTTTCCTTTTATTTGAAAGGAAAAATCAGGATGTAATCACTTAGAATCACTTAGGTCTTGTTTGGTATCAATTGTTGAAAATGAGAAATAGGAATTGGAATTGAGATTAATAAAATTCATTAAGAGAGTATTTAGTATAAAAAGTTATTTACTACTTGGATTAGACAAACTTAGTCACTGGGTCCGCCGGTGGATACCCTGATGTTTCATCAAACTTATGTAAGTAAGATTGAATAATACTATTTCTCTCTATGACATTTCCCAAAATATAAACCAACAGCTGCGCAGCATTGTACACAATTAGTACGAATAAATAAGCGGAGTATTTATCGTCTCCCAAAAAAATCGCGCTTTTGACTTTGACTAGAGCTTGCTTCCCACTGGACATGAAGTTTGCATCATGGGTCTTCAATAGTATGCCTCAAGTCTAAACCAGTTCGCGCAACATACAAGATTAACAGGAAAGTATGGAGAAGATTTTGATGTGATTGATAGATGAAATGATAAGGCAGACGATAAAGAGGAAGTTGCCCTGTTTCAATCCTTCGTCAAAACTGGTGCCCGGAAATGACGACGATGACCTTCCGGCCTGAAAGATTGTTGCTTTCCTTTTTCTTCACTATTTTTCTTGATTTGATTCGATTTTTCTTGCTTTGGTTTCAACGGCAAGGAGTGGAGTGGAAGGGAGGCTAGCCGACAGGGCAGCAGAAGCGTGCTTTTTCCGGCACGATGACTGTGACTCCGCTCTGATCTCTTTCGTCAGGGAAGCAGGCACGTGCTCATCACATGACTCCTCCGTCATCATGTTGGTTTTTTTTTTTTTTGGCCAAAACCTTCGCATGTTGGAATATTAGGTGAGCTCAGCGTTTATAGAGCAGTAAAGTATTACTACTTTCACTCGTTATTGTTATTTAGTTTTATCCAATCCTGATTTTACTATTACTGTTTCCTATTTATTTTGATTTGATCATATCAAAGCAATAATCCCCTGATTTTCCATGATAAAATTCATTATTTTTAAAAACGTAACCATTAAAAAGTTGACTTATTTTTTGTCTTATCTATTCAGCGGATTCGTCTATATTCATGGATAAGGAATTGTACTTTTGAACCAGTCACTGAACCGACTCAATTTAACAGGATAACTGGAGCATCGATGATCAAAATTGCAACATGCGAACTACAAGTTGGTGAGGATCCAAAAGGCTTCACTTCAACCTTTCCTCATCTCTTTGTTCAGTTCTGGGTTTGTTTGCGACTTCAACTCATGAGGTCAACGAAATGTCAATTTCTCAGTAGGATGAGGGGGTTTGTTTACGCGTTTCTCGTCCTGGTTCTATGTGATTGTGCTGTGGGTGTTGCTAAAGAATGCACCAACCAGCCTACACAATCACATAGCTTTCGGTATGAGTTATTGACGTCCGAAAATCAAACATGGAAGACAGAGGTGATGTCACATGATCTTTTGACACCAGCAGACGACTCTGCTGGGGAAAGCTTGGTACCAAGGAGATTCTTGAGGGGCAAAGAGGAGCAAAATGACTGGGCACTGATTTCGAGGAGAATTAAAAGTTTGGGTTTGTTCAAGCCACCAGAAGGGATCCTCAAAGAAGTGTCTTTGCATGATGTGAGATTGCATCCGGACACATTCCACGCCCGGGCACAGCTTACAAATTTGGAGTATCTATTGATGTTAGATGTGGACAGGTTGCTTTGGAGCTTCAGGAAGACGGCTGGTTTGCCCGCTTCTGGTACGCCTTATGGAGGCTGGGAAAGTCCAGACAGTGAGCTCCGAGGTCATTTTGTTGGTTAGTCTATTTCATTCATCATCTTATTCTTACTTCTTCTTTCATATCTGATTGGTATCTTTAATTACACCTGTCTTATCCGTGGTTGTTCGGAAAGTCCTCCTAACAACGTGGAATTGCGAAGGAATGGCTGTCAAAGATCAATGAAAGCCTAATAATTTAGCGTTAGCCTAATAATTATGAAGTGGAATTTTCTCTCTCTAGTCCACTCTGGGAGAAGATTGCATGGTAGCTTGAATAATACCTATGACTGTAATGTCTTCATGATTGAGTGTTTTTTATACCCAACCAGCCAAACAAGTAAAACTAACAAATGTTCTGCTTTTGCAAACGGAGCATTTTTATGTACAGATTTGTCTTTGGAGAGTTCCTTATAATCCATCATTCGTTTATGTCATGTACTAGACTTTCCATGCATTTTTTTTAATACACCTCAAACTACATTAAAAGTATTAGGAAACAAAAGAAGGGGTTGTGTCCCCCTAATAGCCTCAATATAGCCTGAAAATGGTTTCAGAAACACACGCTTCTCTCCACTAAAGCTGTGAGCTTCTTTTGCAAACCAGTCTGCCCCTCAATTCTCATCGCGATCAATGAGATGTAGAGTAAATTGTCAATCTGGAGCCTGCGGCTCCTTCATGTCTTTGTCAGCATGAGTATGGATGATCCATGAACACATCCCTGTAGATCTGGTTGAGCACGTCCACAGAACCACTGTTTAGTGCTATTTTTCTATAACCTCTGTCTCAGTTAAATTTTGAGTCCTCTGCACATGCCATATAACTCAGTGATGTTTCTCGTACATTCTTTGGAGACATATTGCTCACACACAGGATTGTGGCGCGAGGACACATTTATGTACGTTTCCATGGGCTTTTAAAGCTCTATTATCTAGCAAGTAGCAGCGACTATATGAATTTGCAATTTACTTTTAATGGATGATTTATATTTGCTTGCTTTTGACATTTCAAAGGGCACTACTTGAGCGCTTCAGCTTTGATGTGGGCCAGCACACACAATGATAGCCTGAAGGAGAAAATGTCGGTGCTTGTTTCCAATCTATCTACCTGTCAGGAGAAACTGGGCACAGGATATCTCTCAGCATTTCCTTCTGAGTTTTTTGATCGTTTTGAAGATATTAAGCCTGTATGGGCTCCCTATTACACCATTCACAAGGTACCCTCAAAAGTGATTACTGAGCATGTAACTACTTTTGGCCTTAATATTGTGGGTTTTAAAGTAGTCAACTTTTGGCAGATCATGGCTGGCCTGCTAGATCAATATACTATGGCTCGAAACCCTCATGCTCTGAAAATGGTGACATGGATGACTGAATACTTCTACAGCCGTGTACAGAATGTGATTACAAAGTACAGTATAACTAGACATTATCAATCACTGAATGAGGAAACTGGAGGAATGAATGATGTCCTTTACAAATTATACAGCATAACAGTGAGTTAACTAATCTTGTAGCTTCATTTGTTTGTATGATAGTGTTGACTCCTTTGCATTGGTCAATGTATCAGCTTGATAATTATGACTCATAGACCTGATCATTTTTGCTAAATTCAATCCTGAAATTGCATGTCTTGTTCCTATGCAGGGAGATCCTAAGCATCTCTTGTTGGCTCACCTTTTTGACAAGCCATGCTTTTTAGGGTTGCTTGCTGTGCAGGTAATGTTTATATTTGTTCATTATGCAGGTTTCCTTTAAAGTTTACCTGTATTTAAACAATCACTATATCTTCCTTTATCCCAAAGAAAAATGTCTCTTCTAAGGGTATCATTTTTTTTCCTTTGAGTGAAAGTCTAAATGGATATCATTAACAATATTGTACTCCCAGTTGACTGAAACATTTTAAAACTCATATTTGAACTTTAGCATTTGTTTTCCAATCTATAAATTGTATTAAATTTTCTTGCAAATTACAAGAGTAATGAAATTTGAACTTTTTTTTCCATGTAGGCTAATGACATTGCAAATTTTCATGCTAATACACATATTCCAGTTGTTATTGGATCTCAAATGCGGTATGAAGTCGCTGGTGATCCGCTCTATAAGGTAAACAACTTTATGCATGTTTTAAATTTCCAGAAGTTGATGAGAAAACTAAGTTTTCTGGCATAAATCTATTTATAGATTAATTTAATTATCTATTTTATTATTAAAATATTTTACTTGTGATGACAATTATAATGAATGCCTTTTGAGAGAAGCGTGTTGACTTTGGGGCCTAACTTGGAGATAATAAATATTCAAAACCCATTGACTTTAGGTATGCATTAGAGATTGCAAAGGACTTACATATTCACTCTGAAATCTGAAGGCTAGAAATAAAATTAATACAAACTGGTATTGGCCTTCGTCTCTCCTTTTTCTTTAGTGACTCAGTGGTCCAAACTTAAAATTTTTAATTTCAATATGTATCCTTTGTTTTTCTGTATTGCATTTGGGCTTTTGTCTCATGTCTCCATTGTTTAAACTTCAGATGCATGCCTGTTCATGGTATTTCCATTGCTAGATATCTTTTGTGCTTGTTCCATTGAATATACACGTCAAGGCTGGAGGTGGTTTCCCTTTGTGAAAATTTCAATTTTCTAATTAGATTTGTTCTTGCTTTTTGCTGCACTAGGAAATTGGAACATTCTTTATGGATATCATTAACTCGTCTCATAGTTATGCAACTGGAGGGACATCGGTCAGTGAGTTCTGGTAATGAGATATAATAATTAGTTTCAGTTTTTCTTATGAACATCAAATCTTCCGTTTAATATGTACAAGGGCTTTGAGTAGAAATTGTCTTTTTATTTCTCGTTATGGCAGTTAGTCCCTGATTTTGTTAGGCACATCTATTTTAACTTTTGTATAGGCATGATCCAAAGAGAATGGCAGAGAACCTGAAAACAACCGAAAATGAAGAGTCATGCACAACTTATAACATGTTGAAGGTTACAACCAATCATCTATCCCTTTTTTTAATCTCATTATGGTATGCTTCCAGAGTGGAAGTTGTATGAATGTGTGAAAAGTTTTCACAACTTAATTGTGTATCTTTTACGTGACATAGGATTTGAAAACATGCTATTAAAATTTATATTAATTTATGATGTACAAGTTTGTATGTGAGAACGCACACATAATAATTGCCATTTCAGCTAAATTTTAGTTTCTTTCTATTATATTTTCTTCTATGCATCATGCCTTGTCATCGCTTATCAGTTACTTTACAGCATTTCATTTGTATCAGCAATGAAAAGTTATGTTTTCTCAGGTTTCACGGAACGTATTTAGATGGACCAAGGAGGTATCATATGCAGATTATTATGAGCGTGCTTTAACAAATGGTGTTTTGGGGATTCAAAGAGGTACAGATCCTGGAGTAATGATATATATGCTGCCACAAGGTCGTGGAGTATCCAAGGCTAAAACTTGGCACGGTTGGGGAACAAAGTTTGAATCTTTCTGGTGCTGCTATGGAACAGGTTTGCATTTTTTCCCCACGATATAATTCAGTTTATATCAAATTGCAGTATGTCATATCTCAATTCAATCATCTTTTTCCTTTGTTGCTCATCTTTAGGGATTGAATCATTCTCAAAGCTGGGGGATTCTATTTACTTTGAAGAAGGAGGAAAGAACCCTACACTTTACATCATTCAGTACATATCAAGCTCCCTTAATTGGAAATCCAGGGGTGTCATGCTTAATCAAACTGTAGTTCCTGCTACTTCATGGGATCCTTACCTTAGAGTTACATTGACGTTTTCTCCTGTAGAGGTACCCTCTTCTTAACCAATGTTTTTTTTTTTAAAAAAAAAAAGTAATGCACCTTGTATATAATTCTACTGATCTAGAACCCTAGTCATGAGAACGGGAGGCATGTCATTTCTTTTTCTACTTCTATTAGTTTGTGTACGATGCTAATTTGATTAATCTATCATGACTACGTGAGATATGAAAAAAAGCTGTATGATAGGTATGCTACTTTCAAGCTGATGATGACAAGTCAGGGGCCTAAATTTATTTATTTTAATTGTTAAAAAAATTGCTCAAATATGGTCTTCGACGAGGAACGTCAATGTTTGTAATTCGCTAAAGCAAGCCCAGACTGTGTTTTTTCATTCATGCTTCTTCTTTTTTTTTTTTCCCAACTACAGTGTTTATTTTTATTATTTTTTTAAAAAATTGTTATCACTATTAGGTCAAACAATGTTATTAAGAAGCAGGGGTAAAATAAAAGTATGAAATTATTTCACATAATCTGATGTATCTGAAATTTGAATTTAATATATTCTATATATTACGAGATCAAAGTATGATTATCTTATGAAATAACACGCGACATAATTTCATGTGGTAGTATTATCACCGGGAGGGCAACTCATTTTTGAATATTTTGAAAGTATTTTGGGAGTGACATTGAGTAAAGAAAAAAAAACTTCCTAATAAACATTGCTTCTTAAAAAATACTTCCTAAACAAAAATGGTCTTTAAATAAAAAATAAAAGGTACTATTTATAAATTATAAATAACTAAATGTATATTTCTATTGCTATAGAGAGATTCTTGAGTGAACCAAGAGTGTCACGTAACATATGACCTAACCAATATAAAAATGACAAGTTACACCTCATGGGTCTCACCACTGCACTCTTCCTTTTTTCCATGCTCCTCGCTCTCTTCTCTTCTGGTGCAGAACCTCTTCTCTTTTCTTTCCATCCTCTTTCTTTTTTATTTAACCATTAAATTAATATTTTAATAGTTCAGACTTAAATCCTTTTAACACTATTATTAAAATATTAAATTATAAAAATAAATAAATAATAAATTACAAATTATATTAAAATTTAATTCTAATGGTTTGCAAATGCACTAAATGTTTTTTAAATTTTTTATAAAAAATTTATAAAAAATTAAAATCTAAATTGTAGAAATATGTCAATCTAATGGTTAGAAAAAAAAGAAGATAGGAGGGGAAGAGGTCCGAACCGCTTCTCCTCACCCAACCCTCTCTCCTTTCCGTTTTCCTCACACGTCACACATACTTTCCCATTCTCTCCCCATTTGCATTCATCTTTAATTTTTCTCTCCACTAGAAAATGACCTGGTCATATGAGAAAAGGATGAACAAAATAAACTATTTAGGTACTTGTTTTATTTTTTAATTGTTGGCGTTGTGTGGGGTAGGCCAAATTATTATTATTATTTTTTTACCAGCAGGCCAAATTATTTTTTAAATACATACACATAAATACATAATATATATTTCTCATATAGATTAAATAACATATTATGTATAACAAAACATTGAAATTATATGAGCGAGAGAGAATAAAATCATATATCTTATATATTATTAACCTGAAAGAAAATTTTATGAATAATAAAATTTTATTAAATATGTAGTTTTTAAAATTTGTACCTTGCCTTTGCACTATATATAGATTTATTTTTGATAAATTTTAATATATTTATTATAATTTATTTTTATACATTATTTATATGAAATAATAGATTAAAAAAACTATTATAATGATATAATTTTATTATTCATAAAAATCTTATTTTCTATTAGTTTGTCTACGATACTAATTTGATTAATACATCATGACTACGTCAGATATGAAAAAACAATATGCTGTATGATTTGTGAGAGGTGTGCTACTTTCAAGCTGACAATGGCAATTCAGGGGCTTAAATTTATTTATTTTAATTGTTAAAAAAATTAGCAAAATGACAATTACTTCCTCCAATGATATGTGATCGATTTACGGAGGTTGTGGTGCCAATTTGTTACCTTTGTTTTGTAGAAAACCCTGGAGATTTCTTTTATGTTTCCTTACAATGAAAGTCACTTTTGCAAGGGACTGGCACTTCATCCACGTTGAACTTCCGAATACCAACATGGACACATTTGGATGGTGCCAAGGCAATTTTAAACGATGAGATTTTACCTCTGCCATCTCCAGGTATTTAACTGGCTTCATTTGTAAAGTGAAGATTTCACTGTAATTTGCTATTAATTTCATATAGCCATAGGTTTTCGAATTGATGAAATTCAGCCACCCACAGCCCCCCCTCCAAAAAAAAAACCCAAAGCCAACGTCTATTATTGGGGATTTGTCTTGCACCAATCAGAACATAATTCGAGTTATTTCAAATTCAGCCACCCACAGCCCCCCCCCCCTCCCCCCAAATAAGATTGCTTTGTAAAGCAGAGCAGAGAATCATAGAAGCGGTTGGGCGTTGCAAGTCGCAATGATTACTTTGCGCTCTCTCGCTTTAGCGCGATCCCCGTTCATTCACAGCATCAATTTCTTGCAAATAATCTCCTCTTCCCTGCCTCCATAGATGTGTATTTTCTTTTTGGTAAGAGAGTCTAAATGTATAATTCTGTTACTCCTCCAGTCCTAATTATAAGACCCAATTGACTTATTTGAGGAGATTAAGGAAGTAAGTTAAGTTGGTTATTTATAATAAATATGTGTTTTCATTCCTAAAATATTCTTGCTAATTAAGTATATTAGCTAAAACTATCATTATTAGAAGGATTATCTCTAAAAAAAATGTATAAATATAAGAAATAAAATGGATTGGGGTCTTATAATTAGGACCAAATAAAAAGTCAAATGGGGTCTTATAATAAGGACCGGAGGAGTATTATAGAATGAAAGAAAAAAAACTCGGATCAATTGTTTTATACCTACTATATTGAGTTTTCTAATCATATATAGTCATGTGTTTTTTTTTTTTGTTTCATGTGAATTTATAATTAAATACTACTAAATGCTAATATTTTAAAAATAAGATCATGATTGAAGAATTTAATATAATAAATATAAGAAAATTGATGTAAGTATTATCCAAAATAAAATAAACATAATTCAAGTTATTTCAAAGTGATGCAATATATATATTTTAAAAAAATTTGGACCATTGAAATTTAAAAATATATATATTATAGTTAAAAATAACTACATTTATTGCGTATTGATTCCGGAAGAAACAATAGACAGAGGGGCGAGATCAAATGAACAGGGATCTAAGAACTATATTTATTTTTTATAAATATATATTTGATCTAAGAACTATATTTTTTTTTGATAATTATATATTTAATATAAGAACTATATTGTTCTATTTTTAACTTATTTTATTAATAAATTGATAAATCGTATTAAACATATTTTATTAATATTAAAATTAATATCATTATATTAATATCATTCTATTTATTATTAGTCTGTATGTTAGTACATTAGTATGTATGTAGTATATTATGTATATAGTAGTATAAATTTTTTATACTATTTTAATAGATTTATAAATTTCAATTTCATTTTTCTTATTTAATTTTAAATAGATCATTTACTATTATTATAATGATAATGAATTTCAATATCATGAATTTCAATAAATAATCAATATTAAAATAGAAAAGAAAATGAAATTTTTTCTTTTATTTTATTAAAATATTAATATTGAAATGAAATTGAAAATTAACAAATAAAATAATTCACTTATAAAAAAATGAATAAAATAATGAAATTTTAACTAGAATAAATTTGAAAAAAATAATGAAATAAAATAATGAATATTAATTATAAATTTGTATAAATATTATTATAAATAAATAAAAATAGAAAAATAATTCAAAAATAATTTACATTATAGGGAGGTTTTCTTTTTGACCTTGTATAGGGAGTTTAAATTTATATAGTTATTATATAAATTCTTATATTTTATTAATCACGATTGAAATAGTATGGTCATATGATTTTAATAAAATAAAATAAAAAAATAAAATTAAAAAATATAATATAATATAATATATAAAAATAGAATATGTAATACTCCTCCGGTCCTAATTATAAGACCCAATTGACTTATTTGAGGAGATTAAGGAAGTAAGTTAAGTTGGTTATTTATAATAAATAAGTGTTGTTATTCCTAAAATATCCTTGCTAATTAAGTATATGGGCTAAAACTATCATTATTAGAAGGATTATCTTGGAAAAAAATGCATAAATATAAAAGAGAAAATGGATTGGGTCTTATAATTAGGACCAAATAAAAAGTCAAATTGGGTCTTATAATAAGGACCGGAGGAGTATTAAGTAAAGGTATAAGAAAACTTTGCTGGAATCAATACGGAATAAATATAGTTAAATATCTTTGTGATCTTCCCCATCTAATAAAGGGGGGTGTGCGTTTTGAAATAGTCTGCCCTGCACCCACCCCCTGTATGCTTCAACAGGAATCACATAAGGGTATATTGATATAATAGAAATCTTTGGTAAAATGCCTACTCATAACCCAAGCGGATAAAGTATATTATATCATTCGTTTTAGGGATTGGTGACTTACCCGTTCAATGACTTTGGCACCGGACGTTCCCAAAATGGGTACTCTACTCTCGGGTCAAGTGAACTCAATAATAGATGTCTTTTGGTATTCTAGCCTTCCTTCTCCTTTCAGGACCGATATAAAAGAATATTTTATAATTATAGAATATAATTATATTCTATATATGAGCAATGGAATAATAGAAAGTTTGAATAATAACACACATTTGATCTAAGAACCATATTGTTTTACTTTTAACTTAGTTTATTAATAAATTGATAAACATATATTGTTTTATTTGGATAAATGAAAGGGTGAAAGAAAGAGAGAAAAAGAATATTAATGATATAGAATTCTAGTATGTAAGGTCTATGAGTGATGTCATAAAAGATAGTGTAATAAAGCATCAATATTAATTAATCAATCATTAGATGACTATGTTGATCAAATAAACAAATCAAGAGCCGGAGTCACTAAAAATTGAGATGGTGGACTAAAGGAAAACAAAAAAGAAGTAAAATGAGATTTATTTATTACTGACAAATAAATCCCATTTTTTTTTATTACTCTTTATTCTTAGCTATTGATAACATAATTCTTATGAATAATAGAAAAGAATATTGATAACTTAGTATATCTTGCCAATAACCATGTCCACTGAATAGAAGCATTAAAATTTTCATTTTTAATTAATTTATTAAAATTTTCAAATTAAAAATAAATAAATTAAAATAGATTCTATTCTATATTTATATAATTTATATATTCTATATTTATGTATTTCTATTTCTATATTATTTCTATTTATATATTAGAATTCTAAAATTTATTCTAATATAACTATATTCTGTTATAACTAATATCTAATTTGTATATATATCTAATATTCTAATATATATCTAATACGACGAATATAAATAATAATATAATATTAATAAATATTATTTATTATTAAATGAAATTTTTAATCAAATTTTTTCTACTTGTTCTTGAAGTAAAAAAAGTTTCATCTATTCCTAAATAGTTTCTTTCAAAAATGTTTCTGCTTCCCGAGTGAATGTCTTAGTTGAATATATGAATTCTTGGAATTAAAATTTATTCATTTTTAAGTAAACACATAACTCCTAATATTTTCTGTATCGTTCCCATTTCATCGGATGTCCCCAAAGGGACACAATATATATTGTTTATTTCAGCTTATTATATTTTGTTTAAACAAAAAAAGTTCTGTGCAAAAGAAGTTATAAAAATGCAAGTGATCTACAATTGTTGTATTCAAGCAAAATTGCATTGAACTCACAAAAGAAGAACCTAAACTATTTTTTCAAAAAAAAAATACTGCTCTTTATAATTTTTCAATTAATTTTTAATTTAGTTCTTGTAATAAATATTTCTAGTTAAATCTTTATATTTTGAACTTTGAACAGTCCTGAGGGGAAAAACGAGCCCCAGCTCATCGCGCGAGGGGTGAGGAGAGATGATCCACGTGTGGTAATTCTCTTAACAAGCAGCAAAATATAACAACAGAAAAGACGCCACAAATGATAGTGGCATTTGTCTTGCACCAATCAGAACATGAGACTTCAAATGGTCCCCAAAGTATCTCCACGTGGCGTTACTAAACTGGTCACGACATTGTTACCTATTGGACTGCGCGGTACTCGGCCGCAGAGAATCATAGAAGCGGTCGGGCGTTGCAAATCGTAATGATTACTCTGCGCTCTCTCGCTTCAGTGCGATCCCCGTGCCCCGTTCTTGACAGGCGATGTCGTTTTTGGCTCTTCCATTACCGCCTCCCTGCATTAGCATCAGTTTCTTGTTTGGCAAACAACCTCATCCCCTCTCTGCCTCCATTCCTCATTTTTGAATTAAGAACTTTCTCTGTTAGAGCTCTGTTTTTACGTTATAATTCGACTGTCTTCCTCATGGCCCCCCAATCTGGTATTCTTAGAACCCAGCCATTCATCAGGTGCTTTAGGAAGCCGAATCTGCCGACGATAATGCATGTTTCAACTGGAAACATTACCTACTTCCGTTTTCCCTCCAGAAGCTTTGTGGCATCAAAGTACAGGGAAGATGATAATAAAATGCCAGTGAGATGTTCAGGACAAAACCGTGATGATTTCCGTGGAGGAAGTTCTTCGTCCAAAGCAAATTTGAATTTCATTCAAGAACTACTGGAGAAGGGAATTATTCTATTTGCAACGGTTCGTGCGGTATTGGTGTATGGACGTCAGAAATTTTTTGCAGCTGAATTGGTCGAAAATGCAGCACGTGGAGTTGTTGGACGAATTATACTGTTGCTTACCAATGCATGGCCTAAACTGATTCAAGTGCTTCAAGTCTTTAAGGACCAGGGGCTGCTACTGGCAATACTTTTGGGTCTTTCGGCGTTTTTTTTCCATGGCAGAGACTTCCATTACCACTCTTTGGCCTTGGAAGGTATCTTTTTCTTTCCCCTCCGAATGCTCATTTGTTATAATTTCTCCCAAAAATATATATAAAATATAAATATTAAAAAGTAACGGTGATTTCCTGTGAATGCATCGTCATTTAGACAGACTTAATTTAGTCTGGCTGATCAAAGAAGCATTGCTAAAGTTGTACGCATATTGGGAATTGAATTAACTA